GAGCCTTGAGGTGGTCGTCTAGGGGCGTCTCCCCTCAGGCCCCCGACCAGGCTACGTCCTGGGGCACGGGAGCCAGAGGATGCTCGCCTCCGGGCGTCTTCCCTCTGGCCTTGATACTCTTCACCTCTGGCCTACAGGAGGCTGCTGTGGTCACTGACCTCTCATAAAGTACTAATGTGGTTTAAGACATTCTTAATCTGCCATGACCTGTGGTGATATTTTGAAATGTTTTAATTTTGTACTGTGACTGATCTTTCGTGACCTTATATAATTTCTTAGGTGCTGTGAGCTAGCAATTTAGCGTGGTCAGCCACGACCCTTAATGATCTGCGAGTTATTTTCTAGTGAGATCCTTTGTAATTATCCACATTTCTTGATATGTCCTCACTCTTTTTTTTAACTTCTTCAAGAGTTTGACATGTTTTAGTCAGGTGTTTACATACCTGTAGCTGTTGTATATCTTATTTTGAAACTAACCCGAAATACAGTGACATTCACCTGCCAAGTTTAGCGGACGGAGGATCAAGCCTTCACCACTTACTGCGGATATATGAGCATACCACTTAAGGAAACACGGTGCATTATCGTTACAATGTGTATTTAAGTGAAGCTCTAAACCCGTGTAAAGTATTTAGCATAATAAGAATGATGAGCCTCAGTGGACGGACGCATTACTCTGTGTGGTAGTAATAGACTGTCAACATCGACCTGAATTGACTTGTAAGAATCCGTCTTATTTCTTTCAACTAGTCTGACCTATCATAACTTAATTTGACACATTTTGACTTGACTAGACCAAATGCATCCAAATACTCTATGAAATACAATTAGCACTGACCGGATTGGAATGACCGAAGCTACGCTGTGGACCACGATCAGCAGTGACCTGACAGACTCAAGAGCATGCAGATGCTCGGTGCACCAGAGTCAGCGCACCACTTGGAACGATCATAACCAATTTTATTAAGCAGAAATGTCTTTCCTGTTCACTTACTGCCGCTCTCAAGAAATCTTCCTCGTCTCCCGAGAATAAAACAACATACCAAAAGTGTTCCATCTATAATTATAAGCTTATTAATAACCACAAATTATAGCAAAGTAATTATTAACCAGAGTTATTGTTTGGCTAGAACAAAAAAAAATAGTTCTACTTATTTTGCTTAGAAAAAAAAATTCAGTAGAGTGAATAAATAGCTTGGAATTTTATTGCCTGGACGACAAAGTGATGTTTTCATTTGCTATTATTTTTTGACATCTGGGGTCTTTTTTTTTGAATAACGGACTTTTTTGTTTAAGTGGAAAATGGCCAGATTCAGGAGATTTCCTGGACAAAGAATATTCCCGGTCAGAGAGTATTCCTGGTTAGAGTGTATTCTTGGTCAGAGAATATTCCTGGTCAGAGAGTATTCTTGGTCAGAGAATATTCCTTGTCAGAGAGTATTCTTGGTCAGAGAATATTCCCGGTGAGAGAGTATTTGCTACTGTTTTATAGATGATGGGATTTGACTTTAATTGCCTGATGGGATTTACAATTGTTGGTGATTGATTCTGCAACCAAGGAATTGTTGGACTGTGATTTCTTTTTGGTTGATGCTCTGTTGAAGTTGGTAAATGATTGTGTTGGTGAGGGGCGTGCTTGTGCCGGTGAGAGGGAATGGTAGTGATGGTGAGAGGGAATGGTAGTGATGGTGAGAGGGAATGGTAGCGATGGTGAGATGTAGTGAGTGAGGAATGGTAGTAAAATGGTGAGAGGGAATGGAAGAGATGGTGAGAGGGAATGGTAGTGATAGTGAGAGGGAATGGTAGTGATGGTGAGAGGGAATGGTAGTGATGGTGAGAGGATATGGAAGAGATGATGAGAGGGAATGGTAGTGATGGTGAGAGGGCATGGTAGTGATGGTGAGAGGGAATGGTAGTGATGGTAAGAGGGAATGGTCGTAATGGTGAGAAAGATAGTAGTTGCTGTTGAGTGAGACTCCTGTATTGGTGAGTGATAGGTTGATAATACGCCACCTGTAGCCTTCATGTATCAGCATGGTTGCTAATGGGGAACAGCTTGTTAATGGTTGATAAAGGGAAGAGGTGTGTGTAGTGTATTAGTGGTTGCCAAGATAGCGTAATTCACTAATGGTCGCTGAGAGTAAACAGGGGTGTATGACAGCCTGAGTGGATGTTTACGGTGTAAAATATGCTAATGCCCTTCTTTCTTGTCTACCCCATACACAATTATGCTGTTGTATTTCTGTATAATTTTTTAAATCACTTTATGTTGCTGCCTTTCAGTATGATCCTGTATAGTTCTATGCTCATGAATTGTTGTATATTGCTGTATGGTTGTATATTGCTTTATGGTTGTATATTGGTCTATGGTTGTATATTGCTGCACAATTGTATATTGTTATATGGTTGTATATTGCTCTAAGGTTATATATTACTGTATGGTTGTATATTACTGTATGATTGTTGGCTGGATATGCCTGTAATGTTGCATATATTTGCATCCTTGAATGTTTCTGTATCGTTGTATGTTCCTGCAACTTTGCACAGTTCGGTATCTTTGTATGTTCTTGTGTCGTTGTATGTTGCTGTACAGATGTATATTGCTAATCAATCAGGGCAAACCATTAGAGAGAACATCAGTAGTATAAACTCTTGCTAGCTAATGCATGTGTGTGTGTGTACTCACCTTGTGTGTGTGTGTACTCACCTTGTGTGTGTGTGTACTCACCTTGTGTGTGTGTGTACTCACCTTGTGTGTGTGTGTGTGAACTCACCTAGCTGTACTCACCAAATTGTGGTTGCAGGGGTCGAATTATAGCTCCTGGCCTTGCCTCTTCGCTGGTCGCTACTAGGTCCACTCTCTGCTCTATGAGCTTTATCGTATCTCTTCTTAAAACTATATATATGAATCCTGCCTCCACTACATCATTCTCCAGAGTATTCCACTTAATGGCAGCTCCATGGCTGAAGAAGAACTACTTCCTAACATCCCTATTACTCATCTGAGTCTTCAACTTTCAGTTGTGAATCTTGGTTGCTGTGTCCCATCTTTGAAATATTCTGTCCCTATCCACCCGTGTGTGTGTGTGTGTGTGTGTGTGTGTGTGTGTGTGTGTGTGTGTGTGTTGTGTGTGTGTGTGTGTGTGTGTGTGTGTGTGTGTGCGCTGCATATTGAAAAGATTATACTTCATTTTACTGACTGGTTATATACAACTTCCCAGTCAACATAGCCAGAGGTTTGAGTGTCTTCAATGATTGATGGTTTGTGTCTATTCGCCTGTTAGCGCAGAGGGAAAACAGAGTGGATTGTCTATAGCAAATTCCATGCTCTTTGATATTGCATGCAACACGCCTTCGCTGAGGTGTGGTTTGTGTCAACAAATGTGGTTGATCAGCCTGTGATATTACCTATTTGTAGCTGCAAGAGCACAGTTACGCTAGTGATGTACCCTCTACCGTGTTTAATCTATCGTGTTCAGTTTTGGTATTTTCCATTTAGCATTTTGATAATAGTCCAGGAAGGACCGAAACACCGTCCTTGGATTCCTCTAAGTTTGAGTATCTCTGATATGTTTTATACAGCCACTATGTTGTGGCTTTTTTCTTCATGTTCAATCCATTTGTATTCTGTTATTGTGTTCAACGATGGTTCATTCTATTAACAAGTGGAAGGAGGGAGGGGATAAAGGAGGTTTCGAAGAGGAAAATCAGCAACCAGCAGACTTGTGAGAGTGAATAAGAACGAGTGATTTTTATGGCTTGACTTGTTGTTAACGTGTGAGTGAGGAAGGATTCAGGAGGGGAGTCAGGGAAACTGGTCAGCCGGACTTGAGTCCTGGAAGTAGGAAGTACAGTGTCTGCACTCTGAAACAGGGATGAGAGTTGGTCATTTGAAAGTTGACGTCTGCACACTTCTGGCAAAGACAGCTGTTAAATGAGTGATGATGAACGTGTTTATATATATATATATATATATATATATATATATATATATATATATATATATATAATATATATATATATATATATATCTCAGAGTAGTGGGAGTGGGAGTCACTTGTGACTCTCTTTCGTTCTCTCTCTCTCTTGTTCCCATTTTTTCTTCTTTCCTCGGCTCCTCACCCTGGGTTCTATACTCCTGTTCCCGTTACCTCTGTTTAATGGAAGAACTTTGTTACTGCTTCCATAAAAATCTCGAGTGTGAATAACTCTACTGGTGGAATATCCTCAACTGGCTAACCATTTTGTTTTGTCCAAACCCCCAATTTTTTTTTTGTTATGGTCACTCTGGAAAACAAGATCTATTTTTTTTGGACATTGCAGCAAGTTTTTTTTGTTATAAAGTGAATGAATCGCGCTGTTGTTGTGAATACAAGTGTTGTGGAAATGAGTGTGTAGAGATTCTGAGAAGAAAAGCGTTTGCAGCACAGTGTAGACTGTCGTGTGGCTCGTGAGAAACTGTGCGGATCGTGTGCAGCTACACTTGTATGGTACTACCGGCAACAGTAGCCAAAAGCAACAGTCGCCAAAATAAAGCAACAGTCGAGAGCAGCAACAGACACCAGGAACAATAGTCGCCAGAGTACTGAAGTAATGTCTCAGCATTAAGTGGAAAAAAAAATCACCAGCCACTCACGTTTGTAAAGTGATAACGAATAGAGAGCTACATACAGAAGCAACAACGACGACAAAAAATTAGCGTGTGTTTTGCGAAGTGCATCTTGCGAGTGCATCTTGCGAGTGCCTCTTCCGTGGATTCGAGGAAGCGAGTTTGCATATCCATTGCTTTCCGTGGACCACGCCACTAGCATCCTCTGAAAGTTGTCAACACGGCTCCTTTTACCTCGTCATCACTGATCTCTGCAGTTCACCATCACTAGTGTGTCGTCACTGCTGTCCTTCAGAACCTGTCAGATACGCTTTTAACGCAGCACGTTTAAAATAACAGTCCACCATACCCCGTGCTCCTGCTATTGTTGTCTGAAGTGACGAAGCTGGGAGTCAGGGTCTGACCTAGAGGCGCCTGCCACAGCAGCAGCGGAAGCCGCAGCAGCTACAACAGCAGTCGCAGCGGCCACACCAACAGACGCAGCAGCAGCAGCAGAAGCAGCAGCAGCAGCAGCAGCAGCAGCAGCAGCAGTAGTAGTAATAGTAGTAGTAGTAGCAGCTGCCGCAGTAGCAGCGGCCACAACAACTACAGTTGCAACAACAGCGGCAGCAGCAGAAGTAATAGCAGCGGCAGCAGCACAAGCAGCAGCAGCAACAGCTGCAGCAGCAGCCGCAGAAGCAGAGGCAGTAGCAGCCACAGGAGCAGCCAAAGCAGCAGTCGCAGCAGCAACCGCAGCAGCAGCAGCAGCAGCCGGAGCAGCAGCAGCAGCAGCCGGAGCAGCAGCAGCAGCAGCCGAAGCAGCAGCAGCAGCAGCCGGAGCAGCAGCAGCAGCCGGAGCAGCAGTAGCAGCAGCCGGAGCAGCAGCAGCAGCCACAGCGGCATCAGCATCAGCTACAGCAGCAGCCGCAGCTGGAGTAGCTGCTGCGACAGCGGGAGCAGCAGCAGCAGCAGCAGCAGGGGAGGGAGCAGCAGCAGGAGGTGAGGCAGGTAGTGTGGGATGGTGGCGGCCGTGGGCAGATAGCCGTGTGATAGCCACCGTGGCTGTGGCTGGGTGCGGAGCGGCCGATGGCTTCTCTACCTACGTCCTCGTGTACCTGGTAGGCCGCTCTCTCCTCACCCCCCTCGCCGCTCTCCTTAACGCCGCCTCTCAACAAGCCTCTACCATGGTGAGTAACTCTTAGTACTGACATCAAATTGTTGTAGCTGTCTAAATAAAGCACCCGGCAACTCCAGTTGGTGTCACTATCATTTACAACTCGCCTGTATTCCTGTGTAATCTGATTCTAATTCTTATTATCAAATTCCCCCCCGCTATCTTTTTCTTGTCGTGTGCTCCGTTCAGTGGCGAGGCTATATACATCAGAGATGTCTGTTTTAGGGTTTAAAGTATTTTGAATGGTCGGAGAGAGGTTACGATCAGCATTAATAGCTCACACGTAGGAGGTAGTTTAAAGCCTATGATTCACCTATTGAAATATAGTAGCCGTTGGCTACAGTATAATAACAGCTAGCTTAATGACTGGTTACAGTGGTCTGAAGGAAGTCTTTACAACCAAACCACAAGTTCAGAATAAAGACTGGACTACAGTTCCATTTCCTTTTCATTTGCTAGTTGATGATGGTCAATTACGGGAGAAACGTGGTCCAGGTTTCCAGTTTATAGGTTATTTATGAACTGCAACTAATGAGAAACTTCGCCGTTACCGTTTCGCTCTCGAGGAATAATGTGAAGTCATAGCCCTTGGAGAGCGAAACTTTGCTTCAATAAGTGTCTGACCAGCGTGGCTGTGGTTCGTACGTTGGATTACGTGTGGCTAGCAGCAACAGCGTGGTTGATCTGACCCTAAGCCACCGTTAGGTCTGGTCATGGACCAGTTCGCGGGAGAGTTGGCCCCCGGAACAACGTTCAGGTAAACGCCAGGTAGACACAGGTGTTGTTCCGTCTGTCCGCAACTCTACGGTGTGAGCACCCCAAGTTTAACTACTGACGCTGTACTCTGGGATATACAAACGTTCACTGGCAGCACTCTCACTAGTGTAAGGTAAATTATTTATTTCTAATCCCAACTCTCAATTTGATTCAAAGCAACATTAATTTCTCTGAGCCAGTTATAGCACATGCACACACGCACACACACACACACACACACACACACACACACACATACACACACACACACACACACACATCTGGACAGGCTAAAAAAGGGGATCTGGACAGACTTCAAAGGGGATCTGGACAGGCTACAGGTCTAATGTGACAAATTGCTCCTGGAGTTTAACTTCACCAAGTGAAGCTTGGAGAAGGGCACTGAAGATCGCAGTCTGAGGACAGACTCGTAGGGCAAAGGCTGCAAAACTGACTCAAGTACAAAGACCTTGGGGTGAGCATCATACCAAGCATATCCCCTGAGGCGCACAACTACCAAATAACTGTTGCAGCAAATATGCGCCTGTCAAATCTAAAAATAGTGTTTCGATATCTAAGTAATGAGTCACCCACCTACAGTGTTATACCGTGTACGTCAGAGCCATACTGGAGTACACAGCGCCAGTATGGAACCCACACCTGGTCAAGCACTTCAAGAAATTTGAGAAAATGCAGAGGCTTGCATCAAGACTAGTCCCGGAGCTAAGAGGTATGTCCTATGAAGAGAGATTAAAGGGACTCAGCCTGACGACACTGGAGGACAGGAAGGATAGAGGGGATATGATAACGACGTACAAAATACTGGGAGGAATTGACGAGATGAACAGGGACAGAATGTTTCAAAGATAAAAAATTGAAACAAGAGGGCGTAACCGGAAGATGAAAACTCAGGGATGTTTGGGAGTATTTCATCAGCCTTAGAGTTATCAAGAAGTGAAACAATCTGGAGAGCCTTGAGAACAGGTACGACAAGGCTCCTGGAGCAGGTAGAGAGTGGATCTACTGGCGACCAGGAAAGAGGTTGGGCCAGGAGCTGTGACTCGACCCTTGCAACAACGCTTAGGTGAATACACATACTCAAACATTCGTTGAATCATTTATAAATAATTAAATGTATAAATTAAATATGTATTAAGAAATACACTTCATGTATATAATAATTTAATTCCTGTAACAGTTATAATATACAAAACTTATGAATAATAACAATGAAAAGAATATAATGTTGGGAGGATCTGTTGGGAAGATCTGTTGGGAAGATCTGTTGGGAAGATCTGTTGGGAAGATCTGTTGGGAAGATCTGTTGGGAAGATCTGTTGGGAAGATCTGTTGGGAAGATCTGTTGGGAAGATCTGTTTGGAAGATCTGTTGGGAAGATCTGTTGGGAAGATCTGTTGGGAAGATCTGTTGGAAGATCTGTTGGGAAGATCTGTTGGGAAGATCTGTTGGGAAGATCTGTTGGGAAGATCTGTTGGAAGATCTGTGGGGAAGATCTGTAGGGAAGATCTGTTGGGAAGATCTGTGGGGAAGATCTGTGGGGAAGATCTGTGGGGAAGATCTGTGGGGAAGATCTGTTGGGAAGATCTGTTGGGAAGATCTGTTGGGAAGATCTGTTGGGAAGATCTGAGGGGAAGATCTGTGGGGAAGATCTGTAGGGAAGATCTGTTGGGAAGATCTGTGGGGAAGATCTGTGGGGAAGATCTGTTGGGAAGATCTGTGGGGAAGATCTGTTGGGAAGATCTGTTGGGAAGATCTGTTGGGAAGATCTGTTTGGAAGATCTGTGGGGAAGATCTGTTGGGAAGATCTGTTGGGAAGATCTGTTGGGAAGATCTGTGGGGAAGATCTGTTGGGAAGATCTGTGGGGAAGATCTGTTGGGAAGATCTGTGGGGAAGATCTGTTGGGAAGATCTGTGGGGAAGATCTGTTGGGAAGATCTGTTGGGAAGATCTGTTGGGAAGATCTGTGGGGAAGATCTGTGGGGAAGATCTATTGGGAAGATCTGTTGGGAAGATCTGTGGGGAAGATCTGTAGGGAAGATCAGTTGGGAAGATCTGTTGGGAAGATCTGTGGGGAAGATCTGTTGGGAAGATCTGTTGGGAAGATCTGTTGGAAGATCTGTTGGGAAGATCTGTTGGGAAGATCTGTTGGGAAGATCTGTTGGAAAGATCTGTGGGGAAGATCTGTGGGGAAGATCTGTTGGGAAGATCTGTGGGGAAGATCTGTTGGGAAGATCTGTTGGGAAGATCTGTTGGGAAGATCTGTTGGGAAGATCTGTTGGGAAGATCTGTTGGGAAGATCTGTGGGGAAGATCTATTGGGAAGATCTGTTGGGAAGATCTGTTGGGAAGATCTGTGGGGAAGATCTGTTGGGAAGATCTGTTGGGAAGATCTGTTGGGAAGATCTGTGGGAAGATCTGTTGGGAAGATCTGTTGGGAAGATCTGTGGGGAAGATCTGTTGGGAAGATCTGTGGGGAAGATCTGTTGGGAAGATCTGTGGGGAAGATCTGTTGTTAAGATCTGTTGGGAAGATCTGTTGGGAAGATCTGTTGGGAAGATCTGTTGGGAAGATCTGTGGGGAAGATCTGTTGGGAAGATCTGTTGGGAAGATCTGTTGGGAAGATCTGTTGGGAAGATCTGTGAGGAAGATCTGTTGGGAAGATCTGTGGGGAAGATCTGTTGGGGAAGATCTGTTGGGAAGATCTGTTGGGAAGATCTGTTGGGAAGATCTGTGCGAAAAATCTGCAATTTTTAGTACAGTGACTGAAGTAATATCAATGTGTGGGATAAAAAGTAACTACCCATCATCAGGATTCATTACTGGAACATAATGTAACAATCCACATTATATAAAAGTTAATCTTTTGAATATTGTGACGCGGATCGCCTCTTTTTTTCTCTATATAATCAATGCCCATAACTCCCTTTTCGTTTCTGCTGAAGAGGACCTCAGTTGGAGACCGAAATATGAAGATTCCTCTCTCTCATTCTCTTTCTCTCTCTCTCTCTCTCTCTCTCTCTCTCTCTCTCTCTCTCTCTCTCTCTCTCTCTCTCTCTCTCTCTCTCTCTCTCTCTCTCTCTCTCTCTCTCTCTCTCTCTCTCTCTCTCTCTCTCTCTCTCTTTCCACGCAGGTTAATGCTGTTATATTTACCCTCAAAATAACTTGTGAACTTGGTAATCCGTCAGAAAGTTAATTACCTTTGCTTTTAATCTAGCCAGTTAGCTAACTACTTCTTGTCAATAAAAAAGTTGCCAGTGACACAGTAGCATTTAATAAGATGCTAATAAGGTTCCAAAAGTAAATAATTAGAAAGGTTCCAGGAGAATATAATAAGCCACAAGGGGAACAAAAGACCTCCGAAGAAATTAAATACGCAGCGAATTTGGGTTCAGTGGCGTGTGGTAGAAGCAGTCAACAAGGTTCCAGCAGGATGTAGCAGTCGGTCAACAAGGTTCCAGCAGGATGTAACAGTCGGTCAACAAGGTTCCAGCAGGATGTAACAGTCCGTCAACAAGGTTCCAGCAGGATATAACAGTCGGTCAACAAGGTTCCAGCAGGATATAACAGTCGGTCAATAAGGTTCCAGCAGGATGTAACAGTCGGTTGACAAGGTTCCAGCAGGATATAACAGTCGGTCAACAAGGTTCCAGCAGGATATAACAGTCGGTCAACAAGGTTCCAGCAGGATATAACAGTCGGTCAATAAGGTTCCAGCAGGATATAACAGTCGGTCAATAAAGTTCCAGCAGGATACAACAGTCGGTCAACAAGGTTCCAGCAGGATATAACAGTCGGTCAACAAGGTTCCAGCAGGATATAACAGTCGGTCAACAAGGTTCCAGCAGGATATAACAGTCGGTCAACAAGGTTCCAGCAGGATATAACAGTTGGTCAACAAGGTTCCAGCAGGATATAACAGTCGGTCAATAAAGTTCCAGCAGGATATAACAGTCAGTCAATAAGGTTCCAGCAGGATATAACAGTCGGTCAATAAGGTTCCAGCAGGATATAACAGTCGGTCAACAAGGTTCCAGCAGGATATAACAGTTGGTCAACAAGGTTCCAACAGGATATAACAGTCGGTCAACAAGGTTCCAGCAGGATATAACAGTCGGCCAATAAGGCTCCAACAGGATATAACAGTCGGTCAACAAGGTTCCAGCAGGATATAACAGTCGGTCAACAAGGTTCCAACAGGATATAACAGTCGGTCAACAAGGTTCCAGCAGGATATAAC